GAGGGAGGTAAGGAAGAAGAAGGGGATTGGCGAGGAAGAAGTGCCGGCAGCCATAGCTGACCGGGAAGTTGACCGAGAGGGTTGACTGGAGGCGTTGACCGGAGTTGACCGAAGTTGACCGAGGGTCATAGCAGCGTTGACCGGCGTTGACCAAGGCCGTTGACCAAGACATTGAACAAGACTTTGACCAAGCTGAAATTGGTAACATCTCGCCAAGCCCTTAGCCTGCCCCTTGCCCTATGGATGTGCACATACCCCTTGGTACTTGCTGAGTACAGTCTGTCTGTCTATTCTTTCTGCATTGAGTCTCTTCTGTCCTAGGTCATAGAACTCTRTGGATGAAGGATAGGGCCTTGCTGCCAAACCTGCACGAGACTTAGTAGGACCAATCTCTACTCTGGTATCTGGAGACCTGGGCATGAGCGGCGAGCGCTCGTTAGACAACTCGTCTAGCCCAATGACCGGTACTGTCCGGCAGGTCTGCTCAGTTTCAGTGTAGAGGGTCCGAACTCTGAGCTGCAGGCTGAAACGGAGGCCGTCTTTTAAGTGTTGAGGGCCTGTTGGAACCACTCCCCTACCAGACCAAGTAAGGCTGATGATCTGTGTCTGACGACTCGACTGTCCCGGGGGATACGAACCCTCCCAAGGACCGGTACAGACCGGCGGGCTGCTCGGTGTGGCACAGTARGCTGGAAAGGCTGAGTTGTGGGCTGAAAGCACAGGCAGAACCAAGCTGATCACGTCGTCCTGTCTGCGACGTTAAAGAATTYTTGAGGAGTTACGGGGGATCTCCTTAAATGCCTCCTGACCAGCCACTGGTTCCGTAGTGACAGCCATAGTGCAGGTCTAGGCTAGAGACCATAGTTGACAGGATCCYTGTCAGGATTCTGTGAGTCTTAGATTGAGTCAGTAGGTCTCTCAGTCAGGGGTTGACGTCTACGTGGTGAGGTTTGGAACCACTAACCCGGTTRTACACTTATCACCATGGTTGAGACCCGTAGTGGGAAGGAGACTAGCCCCTACACCACGAAGCAGCAAGAAAAGATGGCCGCCTTRGTCAGAGAGAGTAAGGAGAGGAAAGAGCGTGAAAAGCAAGCCAAGCTAAAGGCTATCGCAAACAAGTAGGCGGCGAAGATGAAGAGATTGGAGGAGGAGATGAAGAAAGTACAACAAGAAGAGGAAGAAAGAAGAAAAGTTGTTGAAGCAGAAGCGGCAGCAGAAGAAGAGAAAGAGAGGATGAGGATTGAGAGTGGAGAAGGGAGTAGTGGTGGCACGATGACAAGGGAAACAGATACAGGGCTAGAGAAGAAGATCAGCGAGTGGGTTGCTAATTTATCGTTGGGAGAAGACGAGGAGGCGGAGTCCTATGTAACTAGGGATGAGAAGGCTGCGCTGGCCGCCGAGCTAGCAACCATGACAGACCCGATGGAACGAAGAGAGAGGGAGGAGGAACAAAAGTTAGCATGGAAGCTGAGGATGAAGAGAGAGAAGAAGAAGAGGAGAGAGGAAGTGAACAAGATGACCGCAGAAGTGGCAAAGGTGCAGGAGTGTAGAGCGGAGGTGCTGGCCCAACCAGACGATAAGGCCAAGTGGGACAAAGTACTAGGGTATCTGGAGGTGTTGAGCAAGGCCTGG